CCCCCCCTCCCCCCAAACCCCAATAAACCCCAAAAACCCCCAAAAAACGCCAAAAAGCCCCCATAAACCCCAAACCCTAAACCCTAAACCCTAAACCCTAAACCCTCGCCTGAATATTGGAAGCCAGGGCCCTGTGTCTCCCCGCCATCTCAGCCAGAATGTTTGCTGCTGCTGCATTCTCGGAAAGAGCCCGGACTTCCTTGTACATGTTGTGGCTGCCAGTGCGGCTGTCGTAGCGCAGCCAAACCCCGAAGTTTTTCGCGAAAGTCCCTCTTTTAGGGTTTAGCTCGCAAACCCCCAAAACCTCGCCGCTGCCCCTTTTGACCTTCCGCAGCTGCCGCAGCAAATGCCAAAAGCGCGAAACCGCCAGCACGGAGTTCGCAGCAAACAGCCGCAGCCGGTAGACCGGAGTTGCTGCTGCTGCTGCTGCTGCTGCAGCAGGACGCTGCCGCCCCACCACCTGGAACTGACGGATCTGCACGCAAACCCTAAACCCTAAACCCTAAACCCTAAACCCTCGCAAACCCTTAACCCTCGCTGCACGCCGGGGGGCCCACACCAAGAACACTGCCGCCCCACCGCGCCCGCACGCACACCCGCAAAACCCTAAACCCTAAACCCTAAACCCTAAACCCTACACCCAGACCCCCGCCGCCCTTCCCGACAGCCACGAAGTGCGAAAGGGGGAATTAATTGTTTTATTTTTTAAATTCAATTCGGAAATGCAGAAAGAACTCCGAACGGGAGCAGCAGCGCATGCAGGTTGCTGCTGCTGCTGCTCCCCGCAGCAACCCCGCAGCGGGTTTGGAAGCGAATCTTTGCAGATTCCGACTCGAAGTTGGAAAAAGAAGAAATAAAAGGATTTAAATTCATTTAATTCCATTAAAGGGACCTACAGGCTGCTGCAGTGTCTTGTCAACCTTCATTTTCGCGGGGAGAGGTTTGGAGTGTACAGACACCTACGGGGAACTGCCGCAACCCGAAAAGCCCGAAACGCCTCTTTAATTTGTTTCTTTTCCAAATTTAAACTTTCACACCCGCAACAAACACTCCAAATAACCCCTTTTTCCCTTTTTCCCACTCAAAACGGCCCGGGAAACATGCGGAAGCCAGCTGCTGCTGCTGCTGCTGCAGCAGCAGCAGCAGCGGCGGCAGCAGCAGCACGCTGGGCGGCTGCAGCCAAGCCCCTGCTCCGGCGCTCAGCTCGCAGCAAATTAAAGGCTTTTATTTTATTTAATTTAATATTTTAAATTCAAATTTAATTCAAATTATTTATTTGAAGTTCAAAAGCGCCTTCAACTCCAAGTGCTGCAGAGGAAACGCCAGCCAGCAGCAGCAGTGGGGAGTGCAGCGCGCATGCACAACCCAGCTGCGCTGCCTAGGGTTTAGGGTTTAGGGTTTAGGGTTTAGGGTTTAGCAAACACACACTGCCATCTAGAGTTCTCTCATAAGTACGGGAGATAGGCGAAGGCTTTTCTCTTTGGTCTTCGTTCTCCGTCCCTAGGTCGAGGGTTTAGGGCTGAGGGTTTAGGGTTTAGGGTTTAGGGTTTAGGGCGTAGGGTTTAGGGTTTAGGGTTTAGGGTCATGTAGGTCTCGAAGAAAGCCTCTTAAGGTCTCCCAGCAATTTGAAGCTGCATTTGCATGCCTTTTAATTTGTTTATATTTATTTATTTGTTTTACTTTTATGTTTATTTGTATTTATGTTTATTTTTACTTATTTATATTTAAATTTATTTATATTTATATTTATTTATATTTATATTTATTTATGTTTATATTTATTGTGTTTATTTATAGTCATTTGTGTTTATTTATACTTGCATTTATTTATATTTGTTTTGTTTATTTCTTACTTCTGAGGGTTTAGGGTTTAGGGTTTAGGGTTTGAAGCTTAGGGTTTTGGGCTGGGGTTTGAGGATAAGTCTCTAGTGTTTGGGGTTTAGGGTTTAGGGTTTAGGGTTTAGGGTTTAGGGTTTGGGAAGACAAATTCACCATACCAAAGGCTCTTCGGGGCCCCTGGAAGCTTTAACCATCAATTCAGGGTTTAGAGTTTAGGGTTTAGAACTTACAGTTTGTGGTTTAGGGTATAGCTCTAAGAGGTTAGGGTTTGCGGCTTATGGCTTGCGGTTTAGGGTTTAGGGTTTAGGGTTTAGGGTTTAGGGTTGCTGCGCGGAACGAAGTTCAGTTAAGTTCATTTTAAAAATATATTTCGAACAAAAAGATTACTTGATTTTGCTGCACTCTTTTTGATCTAAGGATCAAAGTGCTGCATTTGAGCAGCGCAGCAGCAGCAGCAGCAGCAGCAACAGCAGCAGCAGCAGCAGCAGCAGCAGCAGCAGCAGCACCTGGGTATCACAGCTGCTGCTGTTGCTTTTGCTGCTGCTGTTTCTGCTGCCAGTGTTGCTGCTGCTGCTTCTTTCGCTCCCGCCGTTATTTTCTTTGTTGCTGCAGCAGCTGCTGCTGCTGTATTTACTTTTGCTGCTGCTGCTGCTGCTGCTGC